ATATATGTGAGCAGTACTCCATAGTTGGTCGAATCTGGGCTTTGTAGAGTGTCAGCAATTGGCTTGGTGTGTACAGATGTCTTGTACGAAATAGCACCCCCAGCTTTTGGGAGGCCCTTTTAGCAATATCTGCCACGTGACTGTGCCAAGACATGTTGGTCTCTGCAGTAACCCCCAAGATGTTCAACTGACTCTGTAATGTGACAGCACTTCCAGATAGCATGATGTTTGGCTCACCGGTGGTGTTCTTTTTTGAAAACAGAGCTGCTTGGGTTTTCTGTGCGTTGAACTGTACAAGGTTTTTGTTACCCCAGTCCTCTATTATCTCCAGGTCGTTATTTATCTGCGATATTTGAGTTAGTCTAAGATGATGGAATTCACGTGCGGAAAGACCTGTGGGTGGTATGAGTGAGGAGACTACATTGCCATCGTCTGCAAAGCAATAAAGTGGATTTACTGTTTTATCTATGAGGTCATTTATGTAAATCAGGAAAAGAGTTGGCGAAAGGATTGCTCCCTGTGGCACACCAGCATTTATTTGGTAAGAGTTGGAGTTCTGGCCATCCAGTGCAACATAAATGGATCTATCTGTCCTTTAGGTAACTTTCAAACCAAGTGCAAAGTTTCGGCGATAATCCCATTGCTTTGAGCTTGTTGAGCAGATTTTCATGCCAAACTTTGTCGAATGCTTTAGATATATCTAAGGCAATTGTTCTTGTTTCACCCCGCAACTCAATCGCTTTTTGCCATAAGTGAGTGACGTATGTAAGTAAATCGCCAGTTGATCTATATTTTCGAAATCCGTATTGCTTATCGTTGATAATTTTGTACTTTTCCAAGTACTTGGTTAGGTGATTGTTCAGAACTCTTTCCATTACTTTTGATATCACCGGAAGTAGGGCAATTGGTCTATAGTTTAACGGATCTGTCTTTTTTCCTTTCTTAGGAATGGGTTGTACTGCGGCAGACTTCCATGATGATGGATATACTCCTTGCCTGTAAGACAAATTGAATAATTTTGCGAAAGTTGGGGTGAGTTCGTTGGCGCAATTTTTGAGTACTATTGCGGGAATGCCATCCGGACCCATTGCTTTGTTTGTATCCAGCTTTTTTAGGGATTTTCGTATTTCTCTGTGACAAAAGGGTACCTCTGGCATACTATGGGAAACCCTTTCAATGAACGGTGGAGTTTTTCCGTTTGGCACTGTGAGGTTGGAGTTGGAGGAAAACATTTGGGCAAGCATATTGGCTTTTTCCTCTGATGTTGTGGCTAAGTGATTATTTTTATCTGTAAGTGGTGGTATGGATGACTTGGTGAAGTTAGATCCAACAGCTTTTGCAAGAGACCAAAAAGACCTAGAACTACTTGGACAATTCAGCAACCTGTTTTTTATTCTTTGATTGTATGTTTCTTTAGCGGAGTCAATAGTAATTTTGCAACTATTTCTGGCTTCTATAAATTCTGTGTGGTTTTGAGCGGTTTGTTGTCGTTTCCAAAGGTTATATGCTCTGTGTTTTTTCTGTACAGCCGTTTCACACTGGCTGTTGAACCAAGGTTTTGCATTAGCTCTACGTTTAGTTGTATGTGGGATATATGCGTCCATTCCAGATAAGATTACTTGTTTACTTAATGGGGTTATCCCGTATAATAAATAAAAAAAAAAAAAAACACACTTGACCAGAAGCTGGTAGAAGATAGAACTGTTGGCTGTAAAATTTCTTGGTATGCACATAGATTCGAGACTTAAATTTGACACTCATATTGATACCCTTAATTAAAACTCTCACAGGGCTGTTATACATATAAGTGAAAAGCATGCTTCATGAACTGGGAAAGCGCACAGTCAAAATAGCGTATCATGCACTTATAGAGTCTCACATCAGATATGGCATAGCATTCTGGGGTTTTTTGACACAGGCAGAAACGAGCTCTGCCTTATTTGTGTAGGGTAAATCGTCGGGAAAGCTGTAGGCCTCTTCTCAAGCAGCAGCAGATTATCACTGTTCCCTGTATTTTCATCTTGGAAGTGGCCAGTTTAATATTTAAAAAATTTCGTGACTATTCTAGACCAGAACTTTAAAACTTGAGAAACTACAATTTGCCATTGCCAATCCCAAAGCTAAGCCTAACCAAGCACTCAATTATATATGAAGGTGTAAAAATCTTCAATAATCTTCCTCAAGAAACAAAAGATATTAGAGAGTACAGAGCATTTCATACTAGTGTGAAGAATTTCCTCATAACAAAACATTTTACAATCTTAAGGCTGTTTACTGCATGTGTTTAATTAATTGTGGGTACTTTTACTTAATTATTTTTGATTTTTTAGTATCTTATCACCCGTTCAGTCTGCTGCTTTCAGCATTCACCCTTTTAACATTTTAAACTTTTTATCTATTTTATTGCAATTGCCTAATAGGTATATCTTTTTGTGATTTATTATTTATATATAAAAATTGTCATTACCTCCTAAGGGGTGACCGATTTTGCCGAGGATTTTGCTAGTGTTTATTTATTTATTTCCTTTTTGCCAACGAAATCAAATACATGAAAAAGCAACGTCACAAAATTTTTGTGTTGAGTGCAAAAGCATCCAAACACACATACAAAAATAGTACGTCAATTATACTAACATCACAAATTAAAATTTAAAAAGTAGAAAAACAAAATTATTCATAAAGATAAAAACTAGTAAATAACTCAATAATGTTCTATTGATAATAACTAGTTTTACAGTTCAGTAGATATACTTTTTTATGTAAGTACTTTATAACTGTTTGTTTCTTCTCTTGTGTTTTAACTAAGTATTTTCGTCTCTTTACATATTAAATTGTGACATATAAAAATGTTTTGTGTGTTCAATTTAGGTCTTTTGAAATGAAGTAGGTTAGGTAGCAGACATATGTTTATATTTAGTTATTATATTATAAGATTGCTTTGTCAATGAATTTTTATAATTTACCGACGATAAAGCTTTTTTTTGAATTGAATTGAACATGTACTCGCAAAAGCTTACAACAGTGAGATAGGGGTCTAGTCCCACTACGATAAATCACCATACAAAAATTAAACAATCAAAAAATTTTTCCCCGCCCCGTATTGTTTGTTGGGAAACTTAGCATCCTTCTACATGAAAAATTGACAACCAGCACCGTCATTGCTTGTAAACTATAGGTCCGTTTCTGCAGAAATCACAAACCAGTCACAGTGAATTTCATTGGTTGGAAACAGTCGGAAACAGTCAGGAAACTAGTTTCAACCAATGAAATTCACTCTGACTGGTTTGTGATTTCTGCAGAAGCAGACCTTATGAATTTGATGATGACGTCATGAGCTGTCATCATTTCCAAGTGTCCCTACAGCCAACAATGTCATGGATGGACATCTATAGACGTCGATGTCCATCAACGTGCTGATAAAATTTTCCAAATTCAATATCAAACGATTTTTTAGACTTTATAGTAATAAAATCCTCTCCGTAAGGTGTTTGTATGTGTTGAGTGTCTGTTCTTATATGTATCAAAATGTCAAAATAGTGGGAGAACATGTCAGTCACTCCTACTCCACCAGGTCCAATGTTGTAAGAGACCTACAGATACCTAACAGTGCCACTAATTTAAATATAAGATCTATTGAATATCTTGGTGTTAAAATCTACAACATCCTACCAGTGGAACTCAGAAGGATGACAGTTAACAAAAAAAAAATTTATGCATAACTGTAGAGACTTCATATATAAGACGAGTTCGAATAATACGTCGGATGCCTCGGAGGCACTCCAACCCGTTCGTTTATTATTTTCGAGCACTCAGAGGTGCGTTCTTTTTTGACATCTGGGAGGTTTTAGATGCTCCTCGATTTGCTCGGACGTTTTCGACCGACGATTCAGACGGATGAAAATATTTGACGTTTCATTCTAACAATTTACATTATTTCCCCGCCCGCAGCCGCTTCCCGCGACCAGTCAAGTTAGGTGAGTCCAGTGGTAGTGTTTCGAACAAAACAGCACGTTTTATCTATTATAAATTTAATCCATTCTCAAAATAATTAAGGGAAATACGGAAATGAATATGAAAAATTGACAATGGGTATAAAATAAAATACAAATTAAATATGTTTTTAGAAAAATGGGTTAGGATTACCGAAACATATGACCAAAATAAACATCAGCTTAAACAGAGCTTTCGAATAAAACGGAGGAAATCGAGCACATCTGCGCCCACGTGATCGAATATCCATCTCATCTACATCTCATCCGCGAGGTAATATTCGAACTCGTCTATAGTACCTTTGTCAAGTTTTCATCTTTGTTTTAACCTTTTAATCAATCAGGGGCAGAATTCTTTCCTTTTTTTTTTGTTTTTTTTTTTGTGATGGCGTACACTAAACTACACTTTGATTATATTTAATTAGTATTTAAGCAGATATTTTTAGTTGGAAATTATCAAAATCCAGTTTTATATGAAGTAGGTACATACAGAAATTCAGTTTTCCCGGTACCCCACAACACAGTATGTTGATATAATTTAAAGTATATTATACATTCCATAATTATTATTGTAAATCTTTTAAATTTGTAATATATTGAGTATTGATTAATATATTGAGTATTTTCTATTCTTTTTTTATTGTTTTTATCAAGTTAAATGCAAATCTCTAGATCTCAAGGAAGAGAGGAGGCAACTCCTCTCCCCTTCTCTGGAGAAGCCCTACAGAAGTCAAAAACAAAACAGTCAACATGGAATGCTGATGAGGAGGTTTGGAGGATTCCCACATTCTTACATTTCACGCTCTTTCTTGGGCTCAGATTCCGAACCCACGATTCGATTGTATTGTCTATCTACTTTATATGGACAATACTATTGAATCATGGGTTCGGAATCCGGGCCCAGAATGTTGGACATGATAAAATAATAATTGGCCTCTAGTGAACCAGTAAGTTGACTCAGAAGAGTACGCTTTTACAGAAGGTATGATAATCCAATAAATGGGTACTTACTTCCCTTTCGGCTTTTCCACAGTTCCACTTGTTTCAGGTGTACCTCCTTCTTGATCTGCTTCTCTTATATTTGAATTTTTCTCAGCTGTGGCAGTCCCAGTCCCTGTACTGTATGACAAGGATTCGTTCTTTTCCTCGAAAGATTTTTCAATAATTATCGAGGATACTGGCTCCTCGATATCCATAGATTCGTCAGAATTTTCTGCGCTCATTTTCGTTATTGATACAAAAGACTATTATTTGTTATAGGCTATACTATCAACTTCTTAAGTAGAGATTTTTTTATTATAAATGACTTTACATTTTAATTTACCTATATTTATTTAATTGAAAACGCCGAAAAATCGAAACCCGGAAATTTGATGTTTGTTAACTAAACATAAAATGGCGTCGCGTCCGTCACGTCAATTCGCTGCCGCCTCGAGTCGGAGCCGAGCAGGGCTGCCAACTTGGGTGCGTTCACTTTGGACGTCGAACGACGTCGGACGCGCTGAACATCGTTCACTTTCGATGTCGGCTACTTGCCATCACTCATCACTTCCACAACGAGACGAGAGTGGCCTGACTTGCGCATTGGAAATGTTGGCAATCAGCCAGCTGATTAAATTAAAAATGAAAAATTATTCCGAATTTATATCTTTCCCAATAATTTGACCGCAAGCAACAAGCGTCCAGTGCGTTCAGTTTAACGATCGCCCAACGACTCGTTCATGACGTCATTTATCCGGTAATGGCACTTGCTCACTAAAAAGTTTTAGCGCACATCCAAAAAAAAAATCGAGTCGAGTTTCTCGATTCTCCTCTCGATCGAACACGATGAATTAGTTTGTCGACTCGATAGCCGATTGTTCGATTGAATGGGAACGAATCTCGTGATCCCATTAGCATAGCTTGTCGGATGTTTCAATAGTTGTATTCCTTTCGAGAGTTTCGAACACTTCGAGCTACTAGCTCCGGTATTAGTCGACCCGGATTTGAGAGGTAAAGATGCGTGGTGCAACAAACACTTTTCGAAATGAATAAGGGCGAGAACCCACGGGCGTAATTGACGTAAGCGTAACATGAGCGTAACTAATCATGTGATTTAATTTATACGATTTCATTGGCGGCAACGCAGCCATCTTGAATTTTTGAAATTACGCTGCCGATACGGCAAAAAGTTGAACTTTTCGACGTAATCGTGGCAAAATTGTGACGTAATGTATGAGGTGAGTTCAGCTTGGCAGAACGGAGTTGGAGCGGATAAAGAGCAGTTTCATAGTAACCTGAACACAGAGCGAAAAGAGTAAAATGGTTAGTCGAACGCATTAGGAGCAAGGCGAGCCGCTGCCAATGAAGAAATGCCGCGCGCGGCCCTCGAATGCTTATTCCCATCACAAACCGGAACATGTTTTTCTGCGGATATTTTGGGGAGCGATGCCATTTTTTCTACCAGGATCCCCAGGGGGCAACCAAGCCCTAAGCAAAAAAAATCATAGGAAGTGCGCATGCTCGCTTCTCGAGCTTCATCTCGCGAGGTGGAGCTTATGGATATGGAGTTAATTATTTTCACTCTACTTGGTTGTACAAAAACGATGTGGAGCTTCTACTATTTGCTCCCAGTGGCCTGATCCGAACGATTTTGCAGTGAAAACTGTCAAAGGAGTCAAAAGAGTTGCCAAGTTGAACTCACCTACTCACCTATAGTTGTATTCCTTTCAAGAGCTTGAAACACTTGAGCTACTCGCTCCGGTGTTTAGTCGCCCCCGATTTGCAGGGAACAGATGCGTGGTGCAACAAACACTTTTCGAAAGGAATAAGCGCGTGAAGCCCCGGAGCTGTTCCGGAGCTCCTCCTAGGTGTGAAAGGAATACAACTTATGATAGAACAATCACAGAAAATAAAAGGAGAAGGACTACAACAACAAATAAGTAAATTTTCATTACAACCTGGCAAAAAATAAACAAGATGTTTGTGTTAGAAAATGTTTTTGTTGTGGTTCTGATGCACTATACATGCGGGACGTTAAGCCAAAATTCGCGTAGAATTGACGTTTACGCCGATTGCGCTAACTACGCCCGTGGGGATTCGCCATAAGGGCGTAACGCCCTGGAGCTGTTCGGAGCCCCTCCTAGGTGTGAAAGGAATACAACTAAAATACTGTGAACGCAGACCTTACCAACTAGCCTTTACCGATTTGCTCAAATAGGTCCGGTTTCCGGTTAATCCTCCTCGAGCGCAAAGATGATAGCCCCATGTCAAGAATCGTAAACTAACAGGATTGCTCATAAAGTTCGTTCAGCCCTATTGCACTGTTACGTCATATCATTCCATCTTTCTCTAGGCACTGAACGTATGAACGTATGTTCTAAATTGGTCCGGCAATAAATTGAAATTTTTGACATCAAAAATAATGAGGCCCCTAAAAGAAGCCCTTGATCAAGAATCGTAAACTCTACAGGATTGCTCAATCCCATAAGACAAACGTTCATAAAAACATCGAAGATGGCGGTATGCGAATGAAGTCACGCAGTCCTTGATCGGTTTGTGTTTTTTATGACAGTGCACTATCCTTGCATTTTCAAACGTAAAAAATTGTTATTTCCTTTGAAAACTGTATTTTGTAATTAATTTATTGATTTTAAAATTAGCAGACTTCAAAAGCTTGTGTCCTTGAGGCTTGAGTGGTTGGTTAATTGCTAATTAGAAAGACGAGTTTGTTTGCTTATGTTTATCAATTAGCCAAACATATTGCCAAAAAGTCAAAAAAACGAAGGGCTGGAGTCAAGCTGGCACCCGGATTCGTTTCAATGTTTTTTTTGTGAATGAAAAATGAGCACAATTCACATAAATACTGGCACAATTGAGCACAAAACGGGCACAATTGACTACAGTTGAGAAACAGTAGAAAACCAAATGTGAGGTGCCAACTTGAGCGAGCCGGTTTAATTTTTGCATTTCAATATCAAAATATAAGCGAAACGGGGTTGCAATAGTGTGCTTTATTTTTTACTGACCCTACCTAGGTACTTCTCAATTATTATTCATTAATTTAATAGGTACTAGAACGATTTAATATGGACATTCAAAGTGAGCTTATTTCACAAAGGCAAATAGTGATACCTAATTTAGATTCTCATAATCATATTCCAGAAAAACATTGCAAAGGAAACTTTACAACTAAGTAGATACTTGATTTATAAAAAAAAAGCAAAACAAATGCTTGACTAGGAAATACTAACTAGCAATACACACAAATAAAAGAGCGATGTCCTGATACAACAAATCCAGTATTATAAAACCAGAAAATGCTTGGGGTTTTCGCGAGTATTTTCAGCCACGAGTCTTTTATGCTTACACACTAAATGAAACTTTAAATTTACACTTATAACACTAGATAAATCCGAATTTACGATAAAATAGTTGTCAGCACAAACTAAACATCATTCGTATCAGCGGCCATCTTGAAAATCCGGCATGCGCGTGACGTCACAGCAATTGTGAACAAATTTAGCCGATTGAGCAATCCTGTAGAGTTTAGGATTCTTGGCCCTTGATCACAAACGGCTTCCAGTTATATAATGTCGCCATAGATGGCGCTGGCCCGCGGTAGCAAACGTAATATTTCAAGCAGAAAACTGTTAATTTCCATCATGGCTTGTTGCGGTGTTGGTGTTGCGACCTTCTCTTCCATAGGGTTTTTAGTTAGGGGTGGTTTTTAGGGGTCATTTGCAGTTTATGGAGAACGCTGCTTAAAGGGATGGTCTAATAGCAAAAAGTTTCAAATGATTGTTGTAGTTGAAGTTTTTTGCTATAAAAAACTCACCGACAGCACGCTTTTATCTTCTATAGTTTTTTTTCTGCAGCGCCTTGAATAGTAGCATGTTTTTGTTCAAGGTCACTGAATCAACATTTCGCCTGTTTGCCAGAAATTTGATGCAGTAGCGGCCGAATGCATTATCCTATCTCTATTTTTCAAGCACCACATTATTGCTAATGAAATGCATTCTCCAATGCTTTTTTGTTCGAATTTTTTGCTTGAAAATTAAGCGAGAACAAAATTGCCTAATGTGCGAGGAAGTTGTAAATTGCATCGAAAACTACCCCTTTCTTCCATTCACTGTAATTTCTAAACGGGGCCAAATACCTATTTGGTGACAGTTTTCGACAATCGGCAGCCCATTTATTTATTCCTCTCATAATGCCTCAGCGGATTTTTGTTTTCGTTAATTACTCAATGACTTATTGGCCAGACAGGGGCGTAACTTCAAATCTGGGGCCCCCCCGCAAGGATTTTCCCGGGGCCCATCTTCTATACCTATATCACAGCCTCCTATAGTTAACAAGCCATGAAGTTGGAAATGACGGCAAAGTCACGTATGGTGCTATTTTGTTATTGGGTTATGTGTTTCTGTGTATTGCGTTCATTGTGTATTGTTGCAGTTTAGTATTTTTGTGGGCATTATTGACGAAAAAGTGAATAGAAACACACCCATATATTGCCCATATTTAGTTGATACCGGTTCCTTCGTGCTTTGATTGCAAATTTTTAGCATATAGATACAGGAGCCAAAATGAAGGTAAGGTAAGGTAAAACAATATAAATATTTGTGTGCAAGAGCATAGGTCTCGCTATATTACCTAAAATATTTAAACTTGTTCCAGATGCCATGAAACTCCTGTGTTCTTGGGTGCAAATCGAACTATAGGAGTTCCTTAAAAACTGAAGAAATGCAAACATTTTCATTTCCAAAAAAATTCTGAATTGCAAAAAATGTGGATGAAAGCAATACACCAAGATAATTATACCCGAGATTATACAATAACGAAAAATTCTGTGGTGTGTTGTAAACATTTTGAAGAAACCGAAATAATTAGATTTGAAACAAAGAAGGATAAAGGAGTAGTTCGAGAGTTCAAACTAAAACGTCCAACTCTTAAAAGTAGGTACCTCTTATTTTCGAAAATCAGCTCAAGTCTTTGAATGGACCTGCCTTCCGAAAAAATCCCGAAGAAAGAAAAAGTTAGATTTTCAAAAGGCATACTGAAACATAGGCTTATAACACTTTAGAATCTAGAAATATATTCATTTAAATCAATTATTTACTGTTTTTATTTACATAAATAGTTATATTATTCATTGAATTACTGTTTTTGGTCCTTTATTACAATAAATGATGCATTTTTTGTGATTCATATTAACAAAATAAAAAATATATACTTATAAAATGAAACAGCACCAGCACCACTTGGCGGTAAGATTGCGGTGTTGCCTTTTTAACTTCATGGCTTGTTAAATGTAGGAGGCTGTGGTCATATCCAAACTTACCAATAATAACCCGGTTAATTTGGGTTACTTGCAATTTTAATCATACATCACCAAACTCATG